GCCACAGCGGATGCCTCGACCCAATCCTTCCCTCCTGTCCCCCTCTCCGCCCTCGTTTTTGCCAGCTAGGAGCAGTATCTGTAGGCGGATCAATCGGTTACGGCTCCCCCCTCACTCTTGTGGACATGGCCCCCAAAGTCAAGCTGGGCACCAAGGGAGACGCTCCGCAACTGCGGCCCACTCTCATGGTTGCAGTGCCGGCTATCCTGGACCGCATCAGAGATGCCGTGAGAAGAAAGGTGAGGGAATGTAGGCGTTGTTTTGACTTGGAAGTCAAGCCGGGCACCCAGGGAGATGTGCCGCAGCTGCGGCCCATGCTCATGGTGGCGGTGCCGACCATATTGGATCGGATCAGAGATGCAGTGAGGAGAAAGGTGAGACGAAGGGAAGGAGAGGTGACAGACGCCTTGCTCTCGTGGACGTGGCCCCCAGAGAGAAGCCCGGCACCAAGGAAATTGCGCCGCAGCTGCGGCCCACTCTCATGGTGGCTTTTGAATCGACTCAAAAGTCACTCTCATGGTGGCCGTTCCTGCTATCCTGGTCGCAACAGAGATGCCGTGGGAAGAAAGGTGAGTTGCATGTGAGGCCGAGTAAGGGTGGCAGACCCTGGTTGCCTTCCTGCCACTCGTTCTCAGCTGCGGCCCACTCTCATGGTGGCTATGGCGGCTATACTGGGTCGGATCAGAGATGCAGTGTGGTGCGGTGGAATGTGAGAGCCTGGTGCAGTTGATTGAAGCGCATCTTTGCAGCTGCGGCCCTCCACCTCGCTTGGTGGTCGTGCCAGCTGTATTGGATCGGATCAGAGACGCCGCGAGACGAAAGCTGAGTTGGGGGATGCCTCAAAGACGTACTGTGCAAATGCATGCTGTGCTGATGCTGGGAGACGCGCCGCAGCTGCGGCCAACGCTCATGGCGGCAGTGCTGGCTATCCTCCACCAGAACCGAGACGCCGTGCGGCGGAAGTTGGGTCGTGGGGTGTTTTCGAGGTGGCCGTGCGGGGCTACTGGCGGCACCGTCGTCTGATGCGAGTCCTGGGCGCTCGTCCTACCCTTTTTTTAAAGAATTCTCAAAATCAGAACACGTGCTATTGGCACCTTCGTCTGAGGCGGGTCCTGGGCGCTCCTCCTGCTCCTAGCTGCTGTTGCGGTGTACTCCCGCGGTGGCCGCCTGGCTATCCTGGACCGGATCAGAGATGCCGTGCGGAGAAAGGTGAGATGAAGGGGGGACAGGTGACAGACCCTGATTGCCTTCCTGCCCCACTTTCCCACCTGTCGCCAGTTGAGGCCCTCTCTCACGGTGGCTGTGTCATTTTCACACCTCCCCCACACACAGATTGTAGCAGCCCCAGTGGAGGTGGTCACACAGACGCTCTTCAACCTCGCCTATTCCCGGTGCCTGGCAGCCACAGAGGGCAGCTGGTTGATTTGGCTCTCACTCCGTCCCCTTACCTCGTGCCCCTCCTGTTGGGTCCATGGTCCCCCCTTCCGCATCCCGTGCACAGATCGCAGCAGCCCCGGTGGTGACCAGAACGCTCTTCAATCTCGCCTATTCCCGCCGCCTCGCAGCCATCGAGGGCAGCTGGTTCGGCGCGTGGGGCGTGGAGAGGCTGCTGTGGGACGTGCTGGTGTTTCGGAAGGTGTGTTTGTGATTGTGAGTGTGAGTTTGAGAGTGGGTTGTTGAGTGTGGGTGTGAGTAGGAGTGTGAGTTTGGGAGTGTGTGTGTGCGTGTGGGTGTGGGTGTGGGTGTGGGTGTGGGTTTGGGTGTGAGAGTGAGTTTGAGTGTGGGTGTGAGTGAATTTGGGAGTGTGAGTTTGGGAGTGGGTTTGAGTTCTGGTGTGCGTGGGAATGCGAGTGAGTGTGAGTGTGGGTGTGGGTGTGAGTGTGATCGTGATTGTGAGTGTGAGTGTGTGCTCTATGGTGTGTGATCATGACTCTCTGGCTCCCTGCAGCGTGCCTGTACCACACCTGACATCATGTGTTGTGGTGCCATTGCCATTGCTCCCCTTACCCATTCGTCACGCCCCCCCTGTCCGTTTCCCCCCAATCTCTCCCCACCAGGTGCGGCTGCTTCGCATCATGCTGTTGTGGTGCCATTTCCCCCCTCCCCCCTGTTGCTCCGCAATCACATTCCTCCCCTCCCCCCATCTCCCCCCATCAGGTGCGGGCAGCAGTGGGGGGGCACTTCCGTTTTATGCTGTCAGGAGGGGCTCCTCTCTCTCTAGATTTACGACTTTCCCCCCACTCACTCCCCCCCCATTCCCCCCTCAATCCCTCATCCCCCCATTCCTCCCCCCCACCAGGTGCGGGCAGCTGTGGGGGGCCACCTCCGCTTTATGCTGTCAGGAGGGGCTCCTCTCTCTCCAGACTCTCAACGATTCATGAATATCTGCTTCAAGTAAGATTTCTATCTGCTTTGAGTGAATTTCGACTCCGTTTTAGATAATATCTGCTTCTTCAATGGGCCTCACTTGAACGAAGGTCACTTCATGTTGCCGACCTTCCCTTCTGCCTCTCCCTTTGACATGCAACTTGAGATGATTTTTTTTTAGGCGTCTTAGAACTGTCACTTCGTGGTATGACCCATATGTCCGTTCCCCCCCGGCCGCTCCCACTCTGTGGTCTGAAGCATTCCCATCCGCCAGGGCTACGGCCTCACAGAGACAGCTGCTGCTGCTCTCATCTTCATCACGTCAATCTAAACCCGAAGACCTTCCCTCTCCCCCCCCCTTCTCCACGTGCAGCATCCCCATCAGTCAGGGCTACGGCCTCACAGAGACGGCAGCAGGAGGAACCTTCTCAGAATGGGACGACTCGTCTGTGGGGCGGGTGGGGCCGCCCATCCCCTGCAACCTGATCCGGGTGAGCTTCAAAGAATGCTTGATACTAGACTACAAATCATGTGCAAATCAACCGCACCACGGACCACCCTTACCTGTTGCCCCCTTCCCTTCATTGATTCTCGTTCCCTCCTCCCACACAACCCCTCAGCTAATCGACTGGGAAGAGGGCGGTTACCGCACCACGGACCACCCGAACCCACGGGGGGAGATTCTCATCGGTGGGCCGAACGTGAGCCTGGGGTACTGGAAGGATAAGGAGAAGACTGAAGAGGTGTTCTCGGTAAGTGGTGCCCTTGACTTGCTGGACTTGGGTGCTTGGTGCTTGGTGCTCGGTGCTTGATGCTTGCTGTCTTGAGGTGCGTTCAGATGCCTTAACGAATGGGAGCCTAGGGTGCTGGAAGGTAAGGAGAAGACTGAAGAGGTGGTCTCGGCGAGTGGTGCCCTTGACTTGCTGGACTTGCTCGACTTGGTGTTTGGTGGTTGGGTGCTTGCCTAAATGAGGTGCGTTTGGAGGAGCCTCTAGGAACGTCCGCCCAGGGTACTGGAGGAACAAGTAGAAGACTGAGAAGGTGCCAGGGAGACCAGGGAGGCCAGGTGTGCTCGGGGGCCAGGGAGATTTGTCCTGAATCCTGCCAGGAAGTCAGCCTGGGGGGTACTAGAAGGCCAGGGAGACAGTAGGTAAAGAAAAGTGTTTCCGGTCTCCTGTATGTTGATCACATGCCAACGCAATCTCCAGCTCGTCCCTTCGTTTTTCCCCCCCTTTCCTCTGGGGAAGGGGGAGGCAAGGAGGTTGCTCCAAGTCAGATCGGGATAACCCCCTGCGCTTTCCTCGTGCCTGCCCCCTTTGTCCCTTCTCTTCCTCTCCGCTCTCTCCTTCAAAACCAGGAGGACGCGCACGGCATGAGGTGGTTCAGGACGGGCGATATAGGCCTCGTTCACCCAGACGGGTGCATCCAGATCATCGACCGCAAGAAGGACATAGTCAAGCTGCAGCACGGGGAGTACGTCTCCCTGGGAAAGGTCGAGGCGGTGCTCCAAGTCAGCCCCTTCGTCGACAACCTCCTGCTCTTTGCGGATTCGACCAAGTCTTTTGTGGTCGCGCTGGTGGTGCCGGTGCCAGCTGCGGTGACGGACTTCGCGGGGAGTAGAGGGATTGAAGAGGAGGAGTATGCGAAGCTGTGCGAGAATGAGGAAGTGGTGGCTGAAGTGATGAGGTGTTTACAAAAGGTATGTCCTTCTGTTACCCTGTGCTGATGCCTATCATTCCCCTTGCCCTGCCTTAGGATTGTATTAGGTGAGCAAGGTTGCAGGGCTCGACAAGGTTGACAGTGAAGATCCAGCTGCTTCCGGGCAGTTGCAGCAAAGACCCAGCTGCTGTATTTAATCCCTCTGGCATTGCCATCCTTCTTGCCTTGCCTTGTCGCAGGTGAGCAAGGATGCGGGGCTCAACAAGTTTGAGGTGCCAGCGAGGATCAAGCTGCTTCCAGATCCATGGCTGCCAGAGTCCGGCCTTGTGACTCCTGCTCTCAAGATTAAGCGAAATATGATCCACAAGGCGTTTGCCAAGGAGTTGAGAGAGCTCTATGCTTAGCTTGCATACGACCGAAAGAGCAAATCATAAGCCAATGATCAAAACAGTGGTGGGGTGGTGTGACGCTCTCAATAGTATTCTTCACCCTCCCTGTAAAATCGGTGGGCTGTTCTGGATTCCATGTGCTCGAAGATAAGATGGATTTTGTGTTGCATAGCAGTAGAAACCGCCAACATTCAAAGTGAATGATGGAAATGATGGATTTCAATGCAACAAAATGCTGCTGTAATATGGTATGTGTGTCGTAACCGTTTAATAACATCGATAAATCGATCTGAAACGCATAGCACCGACTCAAATAGATTCGACTGCACCTGACTTTGTGCAGCCAGGCTGACGTCATCGCTCCATCACATTGTTTCAGCCAGCCCCCAACTTACCCAGGAAGGTTCTTAGTTAGTGTGACGACATTCGTTAGGGGTTTCCGTTCGTCGTTCGCCACACCACAGGGGAGTGTTTTCGCCTTTCGTCAAAAGTCTCGACAATCCTGTCGCCATTCGCTGCATGCCAGGAATTTCCTTCCTCGGGGTTTCCTTCGAGACAGGTTCTTGCAAGCTCATGCAAGGCATCATTCGAGTCGAGCCCACCAACCGACGCCTTTCAACACTTGGATTATGTGTGCGTGTAACGAATCTAGTACAGTCCGCTCGGCCCGCTGGGCTGTCGTCATGGACGGACAGAAGCGTCCGCGAAGCAGCCTTAGCTAATTTCCAGAAGCTCCCGAGATTCGAACGTTCCACTCCGTTTGTGTTTGATCCTAGGTAATTCGTCTCGGCCCCGCGCGTAGTTAGCGTATTTACACAGCCATGGCGACTGTGATTTGCATTCAAGCATCTAAGCCATTTGATCGAACAATCTCTCTCAGCCTCTCCTCCAATCCCGTAACGTCCGGCACCCATCACCGCTATCACCGAACTCACCGCTATCCCCGCTGAAATGGCTCCAGTGAAGGTCTACGGCTTGAACATGTCGACGTGCACCAAGAGGGTGCTGACCACTCTCGAGGAGAAGGCAGTCACGGTACGACCCTCCAGCATCTAATAGGATGAATCTCTGAGGTTTTTTCCCTGGGAATGTCACCTCGGCCTCGCTTCTTGTTTTTTCCGAAACTCGAGATTCGAAGTGAAGCAATGATGGCGACCTTGTCCGTTTCAGGAGTACGAGGTGGTTCCGGTGGACCTCGGGAAAGGCGAGCACAAGTCGGAAGAGTTCAAGAAGAAGCAGGTTGGTCGGCTGAAATTTTACATTCTGAAATCTCACATTCTGAAATCCCTTTCCGAAATTTCTTTCCGAATTTCACGCTCTGAAAAACCCAATGACATGCACCTCTCGATCTGAACCGTACTCCGTATGCTGTGTGTGGCCTTGTTTGCTGCAGCCATTCGGAGTTATTCCCTACCTAGATGACGGGGAAGTTCAAGTCTTCGGTACGTTCTCATCTCATCTTGTATCCTATCCAATTTCATCCACTCCAGTTCATTGGCTCTCAGTGAAATATTCGTTGCCTGATATTCGTTCTCTTGACTCCCCATTTGCCGCCGACCAGAGTCGCGTGCCATCGCTCGTTACATTGCCGACAAGAACTCTAGCCAAGGCACCGACCTCCTTGGTTCCACGCTCAAGGTACGCATGGCGGACAACCGTGATCAGCGAAACCGAAGGAAAAGAGAGCATATGTCCATTCAGTCTTCGTCTTGTACTTTCATGCTTCGTAATCGCACAATTGAACCTTCAGTTTCCTCTAATCCATTTCAACCGCCCCTCTTGTCCTCTTGTCCTCCAGGAGCGTGCGCTAGTGAACCAGTGGCTGGAGGTGGAGGCTCAGAACTACAACCCGCCCATCTCAGCGCTGATCGCAGAGAAGGTGTTCAAGCCCATGTTCGGCGGGGGCGAGCCGGATGAGGCCAAGGCAGCTGAGCTCAAGGCGAAGGTAAGTTAAGGCGGCAGTTGAGACCGAAGTACCAATTCTGTAAAATTTGCTTGAAAATATTCCCGGGGTTACCATTTGCTGACGGCTCCTTTTCTTCCCTCCACTCTTGCCTCTCGCCCCTGATTCCTCCAGCTCTCTGTGGTGCTGGACGTGTACGAGGCCCACCTGACCAGCAGCGAGTACCTGGCGGGGTCTGCTTTCTCCTTGGCGGATCTGTCCCACCTGCCGTACACGGCCATGCTGTGGGCGTCAGGGGATTCGGACCTCATCACCTCCCGACCCAATGTCAACAAGTGGTGGGAGAGAATCTCCTCCCGCCCCTCCTGGAAGAAGATCTCCGCCCTGCAGTGACAGGGCGTAGCAAGACTCTCAGACCTGCAGTGAGAGCCCTGTAGTGTAAGGGTGTAGCCTAGTTTTGCAAAGAGGGGGCCAATTTCATCTATGTACGCCCTGGTATATGCTGATATTTCGCAAAAACCATCTGGTTTCAACCTCCGGACCGGAGTTACTCAGGTACGTGGTTGTTGGAAATACGGAAGAGGGAATAGTGCTAGCGGAAAAAAGGGTTGGATCATGGAAGTAAGGGCGAAGTTGCCTGAGCTGAGGGACTGCTGGAAGGCTGTGGGTGTGTAGAGGTGGAAAGCAGGGTTCCTGCTAACTTTTAGGGCAGTCTGAGAATCAGACGGGGTACGAACGTTTTGTCTGACCATCATATGAGTTGTTTGGCTTGGTCTAAAATTTCAGACGAAGTATACAGCCTTATCTGTGTTTGCAGATAAAAATTTGCCTCCTCAAAATCAAGCAGCTCATCCTCTAGGCTTTGACTTAAGTACATGAAACATAAGATATGTTCCATACAGTACTAGTCGTAATAAGATTCTTAGGACAGCAACAGCTACGGGCATTAGTAACATCCTACGTGTTAAGAACTTAGGATGCTAGGTCCCTAAAGTTAGGACACTAGCTTAGCTAGGATAGGAGCAAGGCCGCCATGGAACGGCGCTAGGAAAAACGGATCTAGGAGTAGGAGGAAAGTCGAGAAGAAAGAGTGTAGGATTAGGAAGAGAAGGGAGTACAAGGAGGGGTTTGTACCCCCTACAGAAAGGTTCAGTAGCAACCTACCAAGCCTATATAAAATTATAACTTATATAATTTTAACACACCCCCTAGGCTTGGTAGTGTCAAGCCCACTCACACCCCCACACCCGCACCCAACCCACCCCCTAACCCCGCACACCCTCAGGCTCGTGCTTAGCCGGGTATGTGACCCTCAGGCAAAGCGTTGACACACCCCCGTACACGAGGCAGCCGACGGCGTCTAGGCTGGTCAGCGACAAGCAGCCGCGGAGCTCTGGCTCAAGGCGGCTGGGTCGCCGACGACAGGCGGCGACTGCCGCGGCTGAGGGCTCTCGGCGATGTGGCAACGTCCGGGCAGAAGACAGCAGCTGCGATAGGAGGAAGGGAAGACGCAGGGGGAAGGGAGAATTGGGGGGGGGGGGGGGGGGGGGGGGGGGGGCGGGGCGAGTCTTCAGCGTCGCGCCATAAATGGCGCGGCGCTTACAGGCGGGACGACGGCGTCCTGGCAGGGGGCGACGGGGCCGGGCAGAGGGCGACGGGGCCAGGCAGGGCGCGACGGGGCCGAGCGGGTGCGATGAGGCCAGGCAGGGCGCGACGAGGCCCAGGAGGGGCGCAGCCGCGGCGTCGCGCTGACGTCGTCCCGGTCGCGTGTCGAGACGGCCGCGGCAGGACGGCGCAGCCGGCGAACAGACGACGACGCCACAGCGTGACGTCGCCGCGGCCGCCATGGCAGCGTCGATGCCGCAGCGGGGCGTCGACGCTGCGACTGCAGAACGATGGCCCGACTCCGCGGCAGCGCGTCGGGCCGGTCGCGGCACGACGCGCCCAGTGGCAGCGCGACGTCGCCACTGCAGCAAAACGCGGCCGCCATGGCCGCTGGAGTGAATGAGGGTGAGGAGTAAATGGCGGAAGTGAGAGGAGGCAGTCCAGCAGGAAGGATCTCCTGCTCTGATACCATGTTAAGAACTTAGGATGCTAGGTCCCTAAAGTTAGGACACTAGCTTAGCTAGGATAGGAGCAAGGTCGCCATGGAACGGCGCTAGGAAAAACGGATCTAGGAGTAGGAGGAAAGTCGAGAAGAAAGAGTGTTGGATTAGGAAGAGAAGGGAGTACAAGGAGGGGTTTGTACCCCCTACAGAAAGGTTCAGTAGCAACCTACCAAGCCTATATAAAATTATAACTTATATAATTTTAACACTACGAGCCACTTTTGTAGTCAACATCAATGAGTTTGGCTTCTTGCTAACATCCTACAAGCTCATTAGAGCTTCCAATCCAACCAATTGTTCAAGTGAAAGAATATATAGAACAAGGCATACAAGGGAATATAGGCTAATGGGTTGTACTGCCTAAGGCACAACCCTATATAGTCTACTGTAACATACAATATACGGTTGTATATTTGACACACCCCCTAGACTGGATAGGGGCAGTGCTCGATGAGAGAGAAAAAGCTCAGGGTGGCACTACTAGTCCAGCCACTGGGAAGATGCCACAAGGCCAGTCAGGGTCATATATATAAAGGTATGTACACAATCAAGGTCCTAGCAAGTGAGAGGCTACAGGAACGAGACCTAGCTGTACACAGTGCCGCTGATGATCTTTAGGCGCAAGCGCCTTGGTAAAGATATCAGCCGTGTTGGCACCCGAGGCCAAGTGTACCACACGAGCCTGACGACGCTGCTGCAGCTCGCGCAGGAGGAAGTACTGTTAGAAAGAGAGAATGAATGGACTAGTGTGAGAAACCTATAACATGTACCTGTTGGGGTTGTACTCACTAGAAGCACACACCTAGGCTAGCCTATAACTTCTACATACAGCATATGTATAGCTTGACACACCCCCTAGGCTAGAAAAGGGGTGGTGCTAAGCAAGAAGCACACATCTCAGGGTGGCACTACTAGTCCAACCACTGAGGTAGGGGTCCTGAGGCCAGTCAACAAGAGTACAAGCAAGACTAAAGCAAGCCAAGGCGGCACTACTAGTCCAGCCACTGGAGGTAAGGCCACAAGGCCAGTCAGACAGGTATATATAATAGAGAGTACACAATCAGGGTCCTAACAGATGAGTAGCTACAGGAACAAGACCAAGCTGTACACTGTGCCGCTGATGATCTTTAGGCGCAAGCGCCTTAGTAAAGATATCAGCTGTGTTGGCACCTGAGGCTAAGTGAACTACGCGGGCCTGGCGACGCTGCTGTAGCTCGCACAGGAGGAAGTACCACAGCTGGATATGCTTCACTCTGCCCTCAAGCCGAGGCTCCTGACACAGGAGGAGCATGGCCCTGTTGTCAGCGTACAGGACCGGGGCAGAGCTAGGCCGCTCACCTAAGTCTGTGAGCAAGAAGGTCAGCCAGCGGAGCTCCTGTGCCGCCATGGCACCGGCGTAGATCTCAGCCTCACAGCTGGACTGAGCAACAGACGACGAACGAGTGGATCTCCAAGAGATAGCACCCGAACCAAGGCTAAAATAGTAGCCCTGCGACGACCTGAGTGTCTCAGAGTCGTCTGCCCAAGAAGTGTCTGTGTGCCCAGTAAGGACCACCGGCATGCGTCCTCCTAGCACTAACCCTATGCCTGATGTACTTGCTAGATATCGCAAAACCCTCTTAGCGGCCGACCAATGCTGTGGTCGGTGTCTGCCAGTGGCCACAAAGCGAGCCAGGATGCTGAGAGGGTATGCGAGATCTGGGCGAGTGCAAGTCATCAGGTACATGAGGCAACCCACCAGCTCTACGTAGGGGCCGCTGGGCTCTACTGGCTCCTCAAGAACAGGGGCGAAGAGCCCATGGTCTACATGTAGAGGTGTGGGCTGTGCGGAGGAGAACTGAAGACCGAACTTCTGAAGGACCTGACGCACCAAGTGTGACTGGGTCAGAGTGATGGTGCATGCTGCTCTGTTCCTAGAGATGTGCAGGCCAAGATAGCGACGCAGCTCTCCAAGGTCAGTGCAGGTGTGTCTCTTTGCGAGGGGTCAGCAGAGGACGGAAAGAACTGCAGGTCCGCTAGCGTGGCACGCAGCGTGTCGTGCCACTCGCGGGGAGCCTGGCGCAGGCCGTAGACCGGGCGCCTGAGAAGCCACTAGGTCCCAGGGGGGAAGGTACCAGTGAAGCCCTGGGAACGGAGCAACATAGGGTGGGAGTGCAGGACAGGAGAGACGGGACGAGCACGGGAGGGACGGCGAGACCAAACGTGGGACGGACGTGTAGGGTTAGGAGGCAGCGGAGGGGACACAAAAGGGGAACGAGGAGGAAGACAGGCCGGAGACGAGTCCGGCGGCGGGAACACAGGGCCGTAGACAGGAAAGTGAGAGGGTGGTGGGGGAGATACCGGCGAGCGGTCGGGGGAGGGAAGGCCGAGCAGGCGAAGAGCGGAGACCGGCAGTGACAGCTGCGGCGGCTGCTGCGGCGGCTGGTGCTCGACCCGCGGACCGGCAGGGGCACAACGGCCGCTGGGAGAACACTCAACAGCAGCACCCTCAGAACCAACACCCCCAGAGCGAGAACCCCCTCCAGCACCGGCGGCACCCCAAGGCCTGCCAAGACAGACCACGCCAGGGGCCGCAGGAGGAACACCCTCCTCAACGCCAGCACCCCCAGAGGGCCAAGAGCGGCAACGGCGGCGGCGTCGGCTGCAACGGCGGCGGCGGTGGCGGCGTCGGCGGCGGCGGCTGCGACAGCGGAGGCGGAGACACTGGGGAAGGGGGACGTGGCAAGGACGGGCAGGGGGGACCACCAGAGTCAGCAGACTCCTCAACGGGGACAACCGACGGGAGGGGAGTGACATGGGAGACACCAGACGGGGCAGGACGAGGCGGGAGGGGAGCAGGGGCTACCGGGAGAGAGGGAGCAAGGAACAAGGGGGGGGGGGACCGGGACACCTCGGTGAGGGAAGCGACGGTAGAAGGAGACAGACTCGTCAAAGGTGACGTCACGAGAGTGAAGGAAGCGTTGAGACTGCGGGTGGTAGAACAGCCAGTCAGACGAGTCCAGGGGGAAACCGAGGAAGACATAGGGGACAGTGCGGGCAGTGAGCTTGTTCGTGCCAGAGGCACGAACGTGAGAAAGGCAACCCCAGACGTGGAACGCAGACGCGTCACCGGGGGACCCAGTCCAAAGGAGGGTCGGCGAAACCCGCGGCCGCTGGGAGCGTGGCCACAGGTTAAGCTGGTGAGCAGCATAGCGAATAGCGAACGGCCACAGAAAATGGGGGGCATCACCACGAATCATGGAGGTACGAGCAACCTCCATGACCAAGCCGATGCGGCGCTCAGCAACCCCATTCTGCTGTGGCGAGTCCGGCAAGGTGTACGACTGGGTGATGCCCTCTGCACGACAGAACTGTCCAATCCGACCAGAGGCGAACTCACCGCCACGGTCAGAGTGGAGACACAACATGGGGAGACCGCGGTGAAGACGCGCAGCCACAACCCACGGGAGAAGAACGTCGGGCACATCGGCCTTCCGCTCCAGGGGAAACACCGTGGTGTAGCGCGTGTAGTCGTCGACGAGCACAAGAAAGTAGCGCTCACCGCGGGGTCCGGGGACCGGGGCTGGGCCCCAAACGTCCAGGTGCAGGGTCTGAAGGGGGGCAGTAGCAGGGCGAAGCGAGGAGGAGTGAGGGGCACGGTGGAGCCGGCCCTCGATGCAAGGCGTGCACGGTGGCGCAGTCGAAGGGGG